TACACCCTCCTTGGACTCTGCAGCAACAAGCGGAGGTCCCAGGCGGGCGGCAGTCTGAATCAGTGTCCCTGGCCCTCTCCCCCGCTCCCCATCTATCCCGGTCAGCTGTTCTCAGGCCATTTCAGGGGTGGGCGTCCGCACCCTGGAGACCCCAAAAGATCCACGGGCAGACAGCAGAGTCTGCGCTTCCTACACTGTGACTTCAACAAGAAATCGTGAACCTAGGAAAAATATGTACATGTACCCACACACACACATAAATATTTTTTCTTTTTGTTTTTAGAGATAGTGGTTCACTACCTTGCCCAGGCTGGCCCCAAACTCCTGGGCTCAAGCAATCCTCCTGCCTCAGCTTCCCAAGTAGCTAGGGTTAAAGATATATGCCATCATGTACGGCTCCTAAAATATGTTTTGGAAATTACTTGAAGTTCAAAGGCTGCCTTTTCTAAGCGAGTAGGGACCTGCTGGGATGCTACCACGCAGCACCAAGTCTCCTGATTACTACATCAGCTTCCTACAGGCTGGCTCAGCGTGGCGCAGTTCTTAAGCAATGGCTTTAATGAGGACAGGATCTAAATGAACATCCCCCTGTAAAAACAACCTTGGCAGCACCTACAAGATGCCAGATCTACTTTTACCTGCAAATAAAGCGTGTGTTTTCCTGCTGGCTATAGACAGCCCTGGCAACGTAATGACACCCTGTCTCAAAATAAAAAATAAAAAGGGGATGTAGCTCAGTGGTGCCACGCCTGCCTGGCAAGCGCAAGGTTCTGAGTTCAATCCTCAGTACAGGAAAAAAAATTAATAAATAAAAATAAAAAGGAGCTGGGGATGTGGCTCAGTGGTAGAGAGGCCCTGGGCTCAATCCTCAGCACTAAAAACAGGGTGGGGGGTTCAGTCACTCAAACCCAAAATAGCTCTGCCTGAAGGAATAACCGAATTAGTTTTCTTCAAGAACTCAACAGTTTGGAAATGTGCTGTTGACCCTGAGGAAAGTCCCGGTCCACAGGGCCCATCTGCAGTGCTGTCTATCTCGATCCTGCCCTGTGAGGGCCCAGAGTCCAGACGTGGGAAAACTGGATCAGAACCGTGGCCAGGATGGCAGGGAATCTAGGTCTGCATGGGGTGGGGGACTCCAAAGGCAGGACGGGGGTTGTTGTTGATTTTGGAAGTACACAGCTGCAGTCCATAACGATGATGCTCCTCGCAGGTTGGGCTCCACGGATTATTTGCACGTTCCTTTCCACGCCCTCCCTCCGCCTCCTGGTCCCCTTCCTGTTTGTAGAGATCCACCTCCCCGAGAGCGGGTGCTGGGTACAGAGGGCCAGTGGTCCTGCTTTATTTAACAAAGCCCACCTCAGCTCCTTAGCTCCAGTGTGAGGCAGGCCTGCTTGCAAGCAAATACAGGACAGGCAAGGATTAGACAATTCTCACAGACACAGTTCCCTGGTTAATCAGAAATCAGCACGCGGGTTCCCTAGAGTAAAAAATCACACCCGAGAACCGAGCGAGTCCAGTAAGCACCACCTCCTACCGCACTGGGTGGCAATTCCGACTTGGGAAATAACGGAAATGGACACTGGGACAAGGACAGTGACTTTCCTTCCCCACCTAAAAATTCTCTCAGAGAAAGATCACTGGGAACCAGAAAAGATCCAAGCAGGTGGAGGAGCCACTTCCTGTGGGTCTGCTCCCCCAGCCCAGGTGTCTGAGGAGAAATGCAGGGCTTCCCCGGAGGTGGTGAACATTTGGCTGCAGGGACAAATGGGTCTGCAGCCTCAGGTGAGGCCCTGGGAACCCGCAAGGTGCAGCCCAGCCAGTCTCCTTCAGCCCCAGTACTGGGGCAGGGCCTCCCGGAAGGACTGCTGCTTTGACTACTTTCCCACTGGCAGCCAGGGACAAGGATTTCTATACGCGTAAGGTTCAGAGAAAGCAAGGTTAAGCTTCTCACCGACTCTCCAGGGTCCTCACCCTGGTTTCCACCTCTTCTCACTCCGGCCCGAGACCAATCCCACCACGGTTCACAGGGTCTGAAAGCTCACACTTAAAACAGATGCGTGAGTCAGGTGCTTTCTTCTCAGGTTCGATTTATCTGAAGAATTCTCACTGAAGGGCTGGGGATTTAGCTCAGTGGTTCTGCTGCCTGCCTCACAAGCGCAAGGTCCCGAGTTCGATCCCCGGTACCAAAAAGAAAGAATTCTCACTGAAAATCCTGCAAGAGGCTGGTTTAGGAGGTCTCTGATACAGGCACTGACATCCCTAAGAATTCCAGTTCTGGGGAGCTCACTCGCCAGCTACACCTGGCTCAGCAGCAGGGGAGATGGGGAGGTGAAGGTGCATCTCCCCAACAGTATCACGGTACTTAGGGCACAGGTAGAACCTGCACATGCATTCGGGTGCCAGTGTTTGTGCCAAGGGACAACTGGTGGGAGCAGGCCTGGTGTTCGGCTCACCTGGGTCTGTGCACAAGAAGAATCCAGCCCCTCCCCACCCAGAGTTTTCTCCAGGCCCCACAGATGTAGTAAACAAGCAGTTGTAATGCAAATTCCAGTCCGAGGGAGGCCCCGGCTGCTCCTGCCCTGAGCCCCAGCGCAAATGGTCACCTGCTCCTGACACCCTGCTGGAAGTCATCACAGAGGGTGTCAGGGACACAAACACTCAGACCTGCTGGGGACAGGATTAAAGAGGACAAAGGCAGAGTGTGGTTCGGGTGAAAAAGAGGCTGCCTTCCGGTTAGAGTGTTTTTGATCTCAGACACATTAAAAACAGCTGGTAGGTATTAAAAACCAATGGTTGAAACTCACTGCAGTCAGACCCTAAAAAAAAAAAAATTGGACATAGCCCTGTGGTTAAAACTGAGAAGCTTCTTGAATCGGGCAAAATGCAGGATATCTCAAGAAAGCAGGGCTAAGATAAATACATTCTAACACGCAGGGGAATCAAGCAAAGCCTCAGACAACATCATGTGAGGAGCTGCTTCCTGATCACACCCAGCCTCCTCTACTTGCCTGCTGACATTTATTCTGGCCACAAATCTTTCCTAATCAATGAATGACTGGTTCACTGCCCTCAAAATTTTAATACAGAGCAAGGACTTGAGTTCTATCCCCAGTACCCAAAAAAAAAATTTAATACAGATGCTAACAGCAAATACCTCCCATTCTGTCAAAATTTCAAAATGACAAGTACGTGGGGACTGGGGGGAACAGCTCATGGAGACCTAAGGCAGGATGCAGGTTTAAAGAGAAGAAAAGCTGACCAGTCAATACTTTTAGAGATTATTTACAAATTCCAATATGTTTTTATTATGCTGACTTTACAAAAATTATCACTTGAAAGAGGTAGCTGATGTTGCTGAGGAATAAACCACACAAATACACACTAATTTAAACTAGCTCAAGTGTAGTAGGTGATATCAGTGGTTATTTTCTATTACTACCAAGACTGTAATTTGATTTGGAAAGATGATTTGTTATCCTAAAAACCTTTCAACAGAAATCTGCAATTATTTTCGTAAAACATACTGTGATCCTCCCTCCCAAGAGCAGCAACAACAAAAAAAAGTGGCCCACCTACAAAAGAAATATCTGACACATTTGCATATGTAGTTCAGCAAATGTGAAGTCTTCCACAAGTTTGAAAACTCGAAGCATTTGTTTGGGAGTGGTCTCTAAATATTAAACTACATTTGCTCTATTCATTCATTCATTCACCCATTTTTTAGGCTGAAGATTTGTATGTCTCACACAAACATGAAGTATCACCAAGTATTTGAAAAATCCATTTAAATAGAACATGAAATAGCTTTTTCCTATGACACCCATCACCAGGTCTTTGACAGCTCCATTTTGGCTGCTGTATGAAAACTAGAAAAGCCTTATTTATTCCCTGCCCGGGAAAGCCAGATTTCCTTCTGAAACCTGTGGAGAGATGAACAGTGAACTGCTTCACAGTGCTCACCGAGCAGGCAGAGCTGTGAGTCCATTACGCCGACCACTGTGGGCCGCAGAGGACCAAGATGGCCAAACCCCTTGCTGGTGACTGCCGGCTGGGGACAGTCCCGCAGATCTGTTCCCGGAGCCTTAGGGACACTGCTTTTCCCACTGGCTTGTGACTTTCTCAGTTTGTCAGCAACAAGCAAAAATCTCAGGCTCCATTTCTGAGGGCAGATTTGGCCCTCAAATGCTGACCCCCAGGATCCACGCGCACACATGCTTTCCATGGGGGGAGCTGCAGAGACCCTCCACATTCCTGCTCACACCCTGCACCATCTCCTCACCCCACAAGTGAGGTTTCCACTTTCCAAGAAAAGAGAGCTATCATCAAGGGACAACCGAAATCCTGCGAGCCGTGCATTTGCATGTTGCAGTTATAGCGCCACCGGATTTTTACAACTTCAGAAGTGAACTGAACCATGAGATAAAAAGAGGAACAACTTTCATTAGGCTATCTGCAAGTGATACTTTCTCAACAACCGACAATAAAGTAAAAATAGGCCATCCAGCCCTCTCAAAGGATTCTAAAAACAGCAGCTAATAGAATACAACAAAACGAGGCACTTCTCAAAGCTAAAGTGACAATCTGCATGGTCAGCTCCAAAGGAGCCTACAGTTTTCCTTCTAGGTGGCTGACAGGCCTGGAAAACCACTAGCATTTAGTTAACCCAAAGACCGAAGGCATTTCTTCCAGTCATCAGTATGCAAAGCACAGTCCTCACTATCATGAATCTGCTGTTTCACTGTCATTTGATTTCATACTTTGAGATCTGTTATTTATTAACCTTTACCAACAAACCAGCAGCAAACACTGCAAATGCGAGACATCAAAGATGGCCCTATTACCAAGCAGCGCCATTCATTCCCCGCCACAGTTCTTACTCAGCATGGACTGCTCAGGGAAGCATTTCCAATGTGTTTGAAAACAAGATCATCAACATTCTGCCGAAAGGCAAATCAATGGGCACGTTGGAAAATAAGCCGCAACATCAGCACGGTACTCACTGTCCTCGGGATGGGCGGAGAAAGGGATCCATTTGACATGTACGGGTCACTGTTCATGTTTGGCATCATCAGGTAGCCGGAGTAACTGGAGTAGGAGGGCCCCTTGTTGTAGAGTCCTCCATCTGGATGTTTTCCTGCGAGGACGCAGAGCTATCAATAATTTATTGACTTTCCTTTCAGATTACTGCGCTTTTCATCAGAAAAAAAATCTAATAGCTCTACAGCAAGTCAGACTTCACGTAAAAAGATTTGTTTATAAAATACTATAACTGGATTATTATGCTCTATTTTAGATTGACAGTATTTATTCTCTTAAAAGGCTTAACAGCATACCAGATGTTTAAAAAACATGTGGTTCAATTTACTTCCAGTACTGGCTGATGTTTTTAAAAAAATAAGTATTATCCATCTAACTTAATTTGTTCTAATGCTAACAAACTGGACTAAGAAATACAGAAACATTAAGCAGCATACACAACCCTAAAGCTGTAATATAAACATAAGAGGCCATGTGTACATACATACACATATATATATACTTAAACACTTGAAGTTGCACTTCTCCTCTTGACAAACTCAAAGATGCTAACCTTTTACTGGTTTAGCGAGAGTTCTACTTAGGTTATGAGCAACTACCCACATTTATAAGGGATTAACTCTGGAAGGCTTACTTTTTTATGTGCTACACTTTCATAAGGCAGCCAAGGAATCCGTGTTGTTCAGTTTACATACTTTAATTGGTGTGACTGCCAGTGGCTGAGAGGGAAGCCTAAGGTATTGTTCTCGGCCCTTCTGGTCAGCACCCAGTGGGTACACACACGCCAGCCTGGCCAGGCTAGGGGTAAGTCACTAAGAAGACCAGAAATGCACGCCAGCTGACAAGTAAACGGGACCACTTATCTGATTCTTTCCAAGCCACAAGGCACGTTCCTGAAATCAAAAATTTTATACATACTCATAATTGTGAAAGCTTTCAGCAAGCATCAGAAACGGGGAGAGAGTCTTCCATGCTTGCCACGCACAGTTCCTACTTGCAAGTTTTCTGTTCTTACAAGCTAGGTTGTCTTTCACTGGGCCTTGTTCGGCCTGTTCCTTCCCCGTCTGCCTTCTCACTGCAGCAAGCTGGAAGCAGCAGTTTTGCAAAGCAAAATCCACTCAAAACTATTCTTCTTGGGGGGGAAAAAACCCCCACCTCACTGTAAACATTCATTCTTCCCCCAAGAATCTGGGAAACTGAAATCCAAAGCCTCCTAACTCATTCAAAGGCAGCTTTTAAAATGAGGCAAGGCCTAAGTTGCCAGGGCTTCCTCTCCCGTTCTGTGGAAATCGTGGGTGTCTTCTTATCCTGTGTGGTCCTGGCCTCTTGAGCACAAAGGCAGCAAACAAATCCAGTGCACACCACACACACTTCCAGGCTGAGGTGGGGCGGAGGACGCCTTACCGTCATCCGGGTGTTCGTGGGCCTCTTCGTGGTAGGGCTCCTGAGAGGCTTGTCTGGTCACCTAACAGTGTGATGGCCACCCCCAAGAGAAAGAAAACAGCTTAGAGTCTGGAACAGCACCCGTGACCCCTTAACTACCCATCCACGCAGTCACTCTAGGAAGGATAAGCCAGGTCTGAGCACTGGGGAGTCTTTTTCCTTCAACACGTATTTTTTGAGTGATTATTATCTACTTAGGATCAAAAAGTAAAAATAATGACAACAAAAACAGTACACGTGGTCATGACTTGTGTGACTGCCGTTTACCAAAACCTTCCACCAGCCCTGAGGTGAGAGATGCTAGTTAATGGGGTTGATCATTTTGATAGCCTCTTCCACCTCTCTCTGTTCACTTCAATTAGCTCTGATTAAAAGCAGGTTGAATGTCGTTTTGCAACTGAAAATGTCATTTTAAATATAAACAACCCAAGTGTTTCTATGGTGTCTTAAGGAAACTGTCCCTGCCAGAGCTCCCGAGGGCCTCCAAGCCTACTTGGCTGGCGGGTGCAGGCTCACAGGAGAAAAACAGAACTGCTCCGTGGTTACAGGGGGGAAATTGAGAGCCGGGCCAGACCTCGCAAAGGTGCCCTAACCGCCTGCCAGGCTGACTGAGCCACGTGCGAAGCCTCGGTCTCCCCCGCTGCATCCCCGGGCTCAGAGCAGTCTCCCCAGACCCGGAGAGCAGAAAAGCGGGTGCAGACTCGCTCATGGGCCAAGGAAGGAAAAGCTAAATGGGCAGGGAGAAAGCGGCTGCTCTACAAGGACGCGAGCTTGGCAAAAAGCCTGAGCGTCCTGGACCTTATTGGCTCCTCCGGCATGTGTCCTCCTGGTGACCTCACCTCCCACACCACAGATCTCTCCCGGGAGGCTGGGTGCCCTTGCCCCCCACCCATCTTCAAACCGGACCCTGCCCTCAAGAGCACCTTTACGTTCCCCTAGGAGTCCGGGGCCCCACCCTTCCAAGACACTACTCACCCCTGCCATCGGACCGAGAAGAGAACTCCGAGGTGTTCTTAAGCAGCAGGTTTAAGATCCAAAATGTCCCCGCCCCCAAAGCCACGCGCTTTCTTTTTTGGGGGAAGGATGCCATTTAAGGAAGAGGGGTATACCTCCAAAGTTTCTCTGCGGGGAGCAGGCGTGGGTGAGCCCCTCTGAGCGCGAGGCCCTTCCACCGGATTTCCTCCGGAGGGGCTCTCAGTTGTTGGACAAGGTGGCCAGGGGGTGTCGGGTGTCACAGTCCTTCCCCCACTCCCCGAGCCCGGGCGCGCCCGAAATAGCCCAGCGCTGCCCGCTCGCGGCCCTGGGCGCGACACCCACGTGTCTCTATTTACCCTCTCGGGTTACCGGCGCGCACACCGCAGCAGCCCGGGATCTGATAAAGCGCTTCCGCCGCCGCCCCGCTCGCTTTTCTCCGAGCATAGATCGAAGGGCTGATCGGGCCCAGACGAACCCCAAATAAAGGCCCCCTGCTTCTCTAAGTGATGGGAGTCGGGGCAGTGGTGTCTGCACCCGCGAGGTAGCTCGGCTGCACGAGCCCACCCGCCCGTGCGCCCCGGGCCCGGCCCCCACGCAGGCCCCACGCGGTGCCTACGCTGCCCTGCGCCCCGGCGGTTGGGACGCCCCGCCCGCCCGGCCCAAGCGGGCCTCCAGGGCTCCGCTCCGGCTGCGCCCTCGGTGCTTTCACGCGCGCGGCAGCGCATCCACCCGGAGAGCGCGGGGCACTTTGTTTTCGTGCTCGGCACGAACTTCCTGGGCACTGTTCACGGGACCCCGCGCTAGCGCGTGGCGCCCCCGGCCGACGCGGGGCTTCGGGCGCAGCTTCCCGCCAGAGCCCCTCCGCCCGGCCCGGCCCCACGGCGCGCTCACCTCGTGCCCGTTGGCGGCCGGGAGCACCTCAGACTCGTTCACCAAGGAGGACTTAATGTCGGCCAGGTCGCCTTCCTCCTCGGGGTGGCTGATCTCCGCGAAGATCTTCTCTTTCTGGGGGTCGCCCTCGTCCTTGAAGGGGATCATCTCGTCCGTGGCGCAGAGCTCCGGGTCCCCGCCGCCTCCCCCCGAGAGCTGGGGCATCCCGGCGGCCGTGCGACCCCGCTGGGCTGCGGAGCCCCGGGGCGACAGCAGGAAGGGGGCGTCGGCGCCGAGGGGCTCCGGGGGCTGCGCGTGCCGGGCCGGGCGGGGTCCGGGCGAGAACGCCCCGCGTCCCCGCGCCTCGCCACCGCACAGGTCTGGGCGCGGACGGAGCCTGCTTGGGGAGGCAGGAAGCCGGGCCACGGGCTCCGAGAAAGCGCCGCAGAATCAGTCAGAAGAGCATGAAAAGTCCACTTCCTGGAGGGCAAAAAATAAGGGAAAAGTAAAATCAAATGAAGAGCCGGCCGGGCCGAGTCCGCCTCACGGCTCCGGGTGCTCCCGTTGGCTCCGGCTGCCGCCTCGGCGCGAGTCCAGCGGCTGGCGGGCGGAGGTGCGGGAGACGCAGAAGTTTGCCGGGGAGAAGTTGGGCGCCGGCGGCGGGGCCCGGGCTGCTCTGAGCCCCGGCCGGGACGCGCACGCTCGCTGCCCGGTGCCTCTTTGTTCCCGCTCGGGCTCTGCACGCCCCGCCGCGTCCGAGCGCAGGGCCGCCGGGCCGACGGGAGGGGACCGCAGCGACCTAGCCGCCCGCGAGCTGGGCGCGTCGGCTCCGCAGCCCGGTCCTCGCTCGCCCGCCCGCCCGCAGGTGAGCGGCTGCGCTCCCGCCGCCGCCCGCCAGTCCGCCGCGGCCCGCGCCCCGCCGGCGCTGAAAAGCTGCCGCCTGCGTCGCCCGCCTCCGCCCCTCCCCCGCCGCCCGCTCTCCTCGGCTGCGCGCTGGAGGGGCGAGGAGGCGGCGGCACTGAGGGCTTTGAGGAAATTCCCTCTCCTCTCCCAGCGCCCTAGGACCAGTCCTAGTTTCGGGGCGCGCGCGCCTGGAGGGACAGATCGGGCACCTTGGCGAGGGAAGGGGGCCTGGCGCTGCCGGGCACCCACTGGAGGCACCTTTGCCCGCGTGGGGGGGACGAGACCTCGGCCGGGGCGGCCGGACCGCACCCCTGTTCCCTGCCCTGGCTCCACCCACCCACCACCCACTCCGCACCCTCCCCGGCGCCCACGCGCCCTCCCTGCGCGGGCCCGGAGATGAAAGAGGAGGCCTCCGCCTCGATCGACTCCGCGGAGAGACGCTCCGGAGGGACGAGGCGGGAGCCGCCGGAGAGGAGGAAGGGGAGCGGACCGGACGGGCCCAGCTACTGGGAGCAGGGCGAGGGCCCGGAGCGCACGCTAGCGAAAATAAAACCTCCAGGTTTACCCAGAGAATAGGGGGACGGGAAAGAACCGAAGGCTGGTCTCAGCGATCGCTTTGTAGGCAGTGTCCGCTTCTTTGCGTCCTCACCCCGTTCCCCGCAGAGTTCCTCTAGATCGCTCGCCCGCGAGGGAGCGAGGAAGGCGCCCACCGCGCCTGAAAGGGACCCGAGAACGCGCTCTGAATCCGACCTCAGGCCTTCCCAGGTCCTCACCGTGTCTTCAGTGCACTTTGTTCGAGGACAGGACTTGTAAGGAGGCGCTGTGAAGTTACAGTAGGGGAAAGCCGGAGTTGGAAAACATTCTGTCCCTTGGCCTCTCTCCCTTCCTTAGTGAAGAAAAATCCAGGTAAAATCACTGCACCCGAAGCAGCAGCCGCCCTTGAGCCTCAGGACAGCAACAGGGAGCCAGCCGGAAGGAATGCATCCGCGGCACCCTCACACCGAAAATAGGGGAAATAGAGAAAACGCCCGAGTCAGACTTCGGTTGTGATGTAGGAATGGCCAGGCAAGATCTCCTTTTTCTTAACCAGCAGAGACTAACAGGTCTAAACGAACAGAGCAGCGTTTAAAACTTTGCCCACTGATATCCGCTATTGTAGGGGGACAGGAATTTACTAGGAAGCAGCCTAAAACGCTCGGCTGGTCCCATAGGAAGTGGCCACTGGTCACACGTCAACTCTGTACAGCAGACTTGGGTATTTTTAGGGATTGGTACAGAGGGCAGGAAAAGTAAAACCGTTTTACTTTTAAATACTCGAACATCAAAGAAAAACAAAAACAATATCCCGCTATAGTGTGTCCATAAGGCACTCATGGAGAGGCTGGAAAGAAATGCGATTTTTGCTTTTAGGATGGTGCTGGTGTACAACTTCCCCTGAAATTTAGCCCCGGAGTGAGTGGTGGTCTCGGAGACTTGAGCACGTGGCTGGGTCCCACCCTTACAGCCTCTGCTGTAAAAGAAATACAGTGAAATGTGGTAAAACAAGGTCTCAGCACAGCAGCCAGTGTGGACGCCCTTTGGGGGCAGAAGGGCCAGGGGGTGTTTTCTGGAAGCCAAGGAGAGATGGGGGAGACTCCTACACCCCTGGAATTCCCATTTTCCCAGAATTGCGCGCGTTATCTGGACCCCCGTGGAGCGAGCCCTGGTGCGGTGCGGTGTCCCGGAGACTGCCCGCAGGAGAGGGTGGGATTCGGAAGCAACGCGGGAGAAGGGCTGGTGGGCGCCGCTGTGACTCTCTTCTTCAGAAACCTTGCTTCGAACGAAAGCACCAGCGCCCGGCTCCCTGGGCGAGGCCTTGGCCGTCTAAGCCTGGTGCTCCGATGGATTGTGCCCCCCACTGTGCACCCCAGTTTCTCCAAGCTTTGCCAGGGAGGGAGGCTGGCATTCCCCGGTGAAGTCTCCAGGGAGAAAGTAGGGGGCGTAGGTGGGGTGCAGCTGTCCTGGAAGACCCCCCACCGTGGCCTCGATGGCGTCCCTGCCCCCCCCCCGCCCGCAGCCTCTGCTACCTCGGGTTCTTGGGAGCCCCCAGGTCTGGGAGCTCTGCCGCCCCTGCCCTTGGATGCCGAGGCAGGAAGGTCGCTGTGTGAACTCCGCGAGGACTTAGGGCTGGCAGGCTGCAGGCTCATTCCTGCAGGATGTGGGTTTCAGGGGGCGTTTTGATGTGATTTAATTCCGACCATGAAACAACCACTCGGGCTGGCTGCATAGCTGTTGGTGCCCCCGCCCCCCGTGGCTTGGGTTGGTTTTGGTGTCCTTTGGAAGCGAACTTGTTTGAGATTAACACTGGGGACGGAGTGGGGTGCGCACCCCTCAACCCGGAGACCCGGGCACTGGACAGGACTCTGTCTCACCCCAGTGCGGGTGCCCAGCTCCGGGCGGGCGGCCTCGGCCCTTCTCCCTGTGTGGCCTGGACTCAGTCCCGCTGCGCCCTTGGCGAGTCGGGGAAGGAGGTGGCGGGCGAGGGTGCTCCGGACGAGGCCAGGCAGGGGGAGGCGAACCTGCGACTCGCCGGCCCGTGTCCCCCGCGTCTCCGGAGGCCCGGGGCGCGGGCACCTTCGGTTGAACGGAAGAGGAGCGGGGAGCGAGGGAGGCGGCAGTTTGTGTCTCGGGGCTCTTCCGCCCCTTCTCGCCTCCTCCTAAGACAGACAGACGCCACCCCACCTGGGGCCGAGCGGGAACTGTGGGACCGTGATTCGGTCCCCAGGTCCAGACGCCCGGCCTCGGGGGAGGACACGGTCCCAGCCCGCGTGGGCACCGCGTGGGACCGGGCACGGGGCTGCCAGGGCTGGGTCCCCTCTGGCCCCGGCCTGGGACACCGCGGGCCTGGGGCGGCGGGTGCGTGGCCCAGATGGGCACCCTGCCCCTCCTGAAATTCCCCAGGCGCCTTGACCCCCGCGTCCCCGCTTCCCGATCCCGCCCGGGACGCCAGGCGCGCAGCCCGGCTTCTCCTTATATCCGCGGAGGGCGGCGCCTGCCTGGCCCGGCGCGGCGGCGGGGCCTTTGAAGTCGGCGGTTGCTGCTTTCAACCTCTCTTTCTTCCCTCGCAGGCCCCTTTGTGTGACTAAATTTGGCAAGAATATGAATCCGAGCCAGCCTTTCCACGTGTGCTCCCAGCTCCCAGCTGAGGAGGCCAAGGGTTCTCTTCCGGGTAAGGAGACAGGGAGAAAGATCAAAGAGTGGGGGCTGGATCTGAAATGTGAATTGAAAATAAAAATCAAGCCTGGACACATGCCAGTTTCTAAAGCAGAACCAAGCCTCGCAGAGGCCGCGCTGCTGCTCTTGCTCCTTGTCCCTCCCTCTCCCTTTCTTTGGGAACCATCCTTGAGCACTTGGAATAAAATAAAGAGAACATAGGGAAACACTTAGTTTCTCCAGATTTTGTTTTGCAGTAATTTTATTAGGGAAAATATCTTGTTCATAATTACCGTTATGTGCAGCTGAATTTCTGCAGCCATAAATACTGTTTTATTTCAGGAGGCTTCACACTTTCTTCTGCCACCACATTTGGGAAAGGCTGGCAGGGCTGGACATGCCTGCCCACCTTCATGGAGCACACGGCTTTTTCTTCTTTTCTTTCCTGGTCAGGGTACAGGGCACTGCATAGTTTTCCTCCACAAAAGTCAGATTCTGGAAAATCACTGTTAATATCCTTTTTCATAGGGTACTTAAGCTCACAGTTGGTCTCTGAGATTTGAGATGCTCTCAGTCATGGAGTGTGGAGATCTTTTCTTGCACCCTCCTAGTAAGAAACCTTTCTGTCTTTATGCTGAGCAATCTGGAAGGCCCCTGCTTGCCTGCACTCACTGCCTGGGGGATGTCTCTGCAGAGGTGGCTTTGGGATAGAGTTGAAGCTAGCTCCGACCTTCCCTGTCACACCACAGGTGACCTCTGCCCAGCCAACCTCTCACAAACTCACTTGCCTCTCTGAAAAAGGGGTGAAATAATAAGCTACTCCCTGAAACAGTGCATGTATACTTTCGCACATATGTAAGGTGTTAGTCTGCTGCCCAAGATGTTTCTTCACAAGAAACTTGTTTATTGCAAAACCAAAAACTCCTAGAGCCCTGGGACCCTAAGCACAGGAGGAAATGGGGCCGGTGTCTCACTCACAAGTCCACAGCTGAGAACACCTCTGCATGTCGCGCTGTTGTGTGACAAGGGCCACCAAATCCCTGTGGCACTTGCTACCTCCACGTGGAGTGAGTGGAATGACACACAGACATTCCGAGGAGAAAGGGAGTACGCCTTGATTCTTATTAATGAATTTAAGGAAAAAGACACCGAGAAAAGAATATTTTTGCGAGGCATTTGACATGGTCGCAGTAGCCCTGAAAACACCCTGAGGAGTGTTAGTGCCCTGGCCATGTGGCTCAAGTCTTCCAAAGATGAGCAGTAAGAACTTGGGGGTGAGGGTGGCAGAGGTGGCCGAAAGGTGTCCAAGAGCTGTTCTGAGCGTTCTGTAAGTCCCACCAGAACCGTGTTTTAGAATAGAATGGGATGTGGGTATGGGCAGAGGTGTCTCCAGTTTGTGGCAGTTATGGCTGGGCTGGATGGGAAGTGACAGGGACACACAGCTTAGCTGAGTGACCTCTGCGTGTGACCTTTCCTAGCCTAAGGTGACCCTCCAATGGCATCACTTTCTGGGCACCGCTGGCAGCGTGGTCACCTCAATGTGACATGTGTACAGACCGACGAAAGCGGGGTGGGACGGGGCAGGGGACGCTGTGCAAGGGTCCAGCGGGCCCAGGGCTGCTTGGGCCCAGAACCCCAAGGTGGGCTCCTTCTGCGGCCTCCTTCGAGCACCAGCAGCCGGCCTGCCACCTGGCGAGTCTGGTCAAAGGGACCCTAGGCATTTTAGGAGGCAGCATTTGTTTCTAACTCAGCTTCCCCCAAATGTCCCAGATTAGGATTCAGTTCACCAAGCAACATTCTTCCCTTGCGCTTTTCTTTACCAATGGCAGCCTTTTTGAAATGTATTCTTGGCCAGAAGAGGAACATGACTAAGACCCCGAGGGTTCTATCTTGGGGCTTTTTTGTGGGGTGGCTATGAAGAGGCCCTGAAAATGCTCAGGAAAGACCTAGGGCCCTCTTCTGAAGAAAGTGGGCTCTAAGCATGGAGGCCTGGCTGAGAGATTGACCTGTTCCTACAAATCTCTTTCCTCAGCGGTACGGTAAGGGAGGTGTTTCTTGGATCCTGGTAAATCAATGCACCTCACAAAATGGAGGCGCCTTAGTTGTCTTTTTGGGCTTCCTGAGCTCTGTGGGCCCAGGCAGTCCCACATGGAGGCTGGAAGCCAGAGCCACCGCCGTCTGGCCCACAGGCAATGGCAGCACCGAGGGAGGAGGGAGCCATGGGGATGAGGCAGGACAAGGTCATCAGTCTCATTGTTTATCCAGTTCCTCGCAGCACAGATCTGTGTGAATTTCAGCGCCCGCGGCTGCAGCCTGCCTTTGATGTGTGTGATCTGTACATTTTAGTGCTCAGGGAAAGCGCCTGACTGACAGCACCGACATCCAATGCCCAGGAATCACGGCAACACCGGCTGGCCAAGCGTGGAGAGGACAATTTTCCAGTGAGTTTCATCAAAGTGAAGGAGCCGGCCGGGGGGCTAGGACAGAGCCTCCTCTCCCGGGAGCTGGCTTTTGGGGACCCTAGGACTGATGAGCATTTGCTTCTGTCTAAAGCTGGTGGCTGTTTTAAATCTTTATTTGCCTTTCAGGGGAGGGGCTCGCCCAATGTAAGGGAACATTTGACCTGAGGGTGCTTCTTTTTTAAAGCACTTAGTTCTATATGCAGAAAGACTCATCAGTGAAGTTATCTTCGCCAAGAATGCATTTACCCGGAACACAGCCGGTTTCTAGCTCTTTCCCTGGCTGCAGAGCTGTGCTTAGCTCAGAGTGAGCAACCAGGGGTGAATTTGGAGGACTGAGCATGGCAAGGCAAAGAGTTTAGGCTACAAAATTGTCATCTGGCTCAACAAAACGCTTTGGTTTTTTTTGACAAAAATAAGGCTGATTTGCTTTATCTGAATTTGACGTAATGGTGCTGCTGTCCCACAACGCCAATCCTGCTCTCAAGCCTCCTTCCCTGAGGTTGAACTGGCAGCAAACGAGGCAGGGGGATTAACTGTCATTCTAGGACATTCCACGGTCAGATAAACCTGCAGACTCCTTAGATGTATTCCGAGGCTTAAATTATAAAGATTATTTGGCCTTTGGTTTTCAAATTCTCTGGATAATTTTTTGGTTGTTTTGGTTTGCATTTTCAGAACAGAAGACCTGGAGCTAAAGCTCCAGCCCTCAGCCATTAGCTTTTCCTTCCCCACCTGTGGGAGCTCCCAGCTGGCCTTCACCTCCCCCTTGCTGGGTTCTATGGATGCCTCCTGTGCCAGGCAGCTATGCAGCACCGTGAGAAAATATAGGAGACGATGGACATGAAGGAGGGAAGGTTTATTCTGGCTTATGGCTTCAGGCGGTTTGGTCCATGGTCACGGGCCCCTCTGTTTCTGGGCTTGTGGAGAGGCAGAGCATCACAGCAGAAGGGCCTGGCAGAGGACAGCTGCTCACCTGATGGCAGCACAAAGCACAGAGGAGCAGAAAGGACAGGAGCAAGATACACCCTGCAGAGGCCCCCCCTGCTGATGTACTTCCTCCAACCTTCACCCTTTCCGGCATGGCTTCTGGGTTCCTGTTGGAGCTGGTTCTTGGCTTTCTCTTACTCATGGTTCACTGTGGCATTCCACCAGATCCACCTGTGTACACAGCCCATGTATGTGCACACATGCACAGACCCTTTAGTTCTGTACTTGTCCCCTCTGAGCAGAAACCCTGGCAGGGTAGATGGTCACAGTTTCACCCCTTGGCTTCATCCAGGTTTCTGTTCAGATCACACCTCCATTTCCCACGGTGTTACCTAAAAATCAGCCCTCTCCCTACCCTTCCGTCCTCAGTCCCCAATCTGGTCCCTCTCCCTTATCTTCCCTAGTCCATCTTTTCCCTCTCACTGCCTGCATATTACTGTGTATTTGTTTGCCTGCTTGTTTGCTTTCTGTCCCACAAATAGAGAGGTTCTTTGTTTTCTTGTATCCTTGCCACCTTCCATAGCTACTGGTGCATAGAAAATGAACTGGAAAGGCATGTGGGATGGTGAGTTAACCTAACCTTTAACACCCAATTTCCTCATCTGTAATACGTACTTTCCTTATGGAGGAGTACAGAAAACTGACACAAAGTTACATGGCAGAGTAGATGGTAACCAGAATTGTGTAGAGCAGCACTGCTCATAGAAATACAACACAAGTTCCATAATGTAATTTTAAATTCAAAAGCTACAAAGCCACAGATTAAATCAGTTTAGTTAATAATATAGTTAATTTAACACAAATATCCAAAATACGGTCATCCCTTGGTACCCATGAGGAATCACTTCCGGGACCCCTGAGGATACCAAAATCCGAGGACTCGAAAGTCCCCTATATAAAATTGTGCAACATTTGCACACGACCTACACACATCCTTACATACACTTTAATCTTTAGATGACTTGTAATCCATCATCTAAAGACTACATTGTACTACATTACTTATATTCCATGTAATATAATGTAATTGCTATGAAAATGGCTTTTCTGGTATATGTTTAGGGAATAAGAATAAAATATCTGTGCTTGTTTAATATAGATAGAATTTTTTTTAAATTTTGCTCCATGGCTGGGGATTTAGCTCAGTGGTTTTGCCGCCTGCCACACAAGCACAAGGACCCAAGTTTGATCCCCAGTACCAAAAAAAAATTTGCTCCATAGTTGGCAGAGTTCTTGGATATGGAAACAGAGGGCTGACTATATTACCATGTTAGCATGTAATCATTGTAAAAACGTCTTAATGAAAGATTTTACATTTTAAAAATATGAAGTCTTTGAAATCTGGTGCATGGTTCGCTTATAACACATCTGAGCTTGAACTGGCCCCATTCTGAGGCTCCAAGGCACATTCGCTAGAGGCGACCGTGTAGCTGCCGCTGCACTCAATCCACCCTTTAATGACAAGTTTTTGTCTGATTCATCTTTATAGGCTCCTTGCACACTTCTCTCAAAACAGTGGATGATCAAAGATGTATGAAAGAATATTAACACAGTATATCGCTATGTGCTATTTCTCATGACTCGCAACTCCGAGGGTGAAATAAGTGTGGGAACTACCCTGGGACTGTAACAACCGAGTAAAGTGTATTATAACAGTGCCTTTTTCGGGAGAGGTGTGTGATGAATACCATGGTTCGCTGTGTTCCCGAATTGGTTTTGAGTATTTCTTTTACATTCTAAATACCAGATTTACTACTGAACTCTAGGAACTACATAACTCAAAGATTCTCTGTATTATACATTCTAGGAAAACTTTCTCTTCCCCTGTAAATCTGCCATCTGGGGCGTGCACGATCAAAGGTTCCTCAGGAAATCTACAGCGCGGGGAACACCATTCCCTCTACAGACTTTGTTTGCAGGCTACTTCCTCAACCGTATCTTGGTACATGCAGGTCAGACAGTAGATCTGCTCAAGCCTGCGCCTGGAGTTTTTAGCAAAATACCTTCGTGAAGCTTAGCCGTACTCTTAGGCAAATGTCTCCTCGTTGCACAAGCCATTCCCCCCATTTCGGAGATCTAAATCCTCATGAATAAGAGAAAGGTGAACAACAGCAAGCAGGGCCATTTCCTGGAAGAAACGTCAGAGAATCTTCTGGTCAGAACCATATCCCAGACCACGGTGTGCTCTTCTGGTGGCAAAGCATCTCATGGGCGGAGTCCACAAGCACGGCCCCCTTCACTGTGGCTTTTAAAAGTGACCCATTGACCCTTTCACCAGAGGCATAGAGATTTAAGGATTCAGCTGACGCCATCGCCACAGCAAAGGCTGTTTAAAAGGAAAGGTTAACTGTGGTAACTGCTGCTGAAATTATTTTGCCAGCAAGAACACCAAAAGTATATTCAAAAGGCTCTCAGTGACATGTTCATAGAAGTGTAGTTTATGACTTTGAAAGGCCTGGCTGTTCAAACCATAGATTGATGAAATCAATTCTAATATAGCCACCCAGGGAATCACTGTGCAGCTATGAAAATGATGTATGATTATTTTCAATCCTATGAAAAAGTAGAGATGGTGCATAGTTAAATGAGAAAAGAACGAATATAATAAAAGAGAGAATACAATCTTGGTCTCATTTTTTAAAATCTTTCTGTACATATTATTTATTAGAACATGCTCACAGGGGCCTTGTCTGTCTTACCTCAGTGTCCCTGGTGTCTAGAAGGATTCCTGGCACAAAGTGGGACGACATTCATATCTATTATTATATCTAGAAAGACAGGCACTGAAATATTAGCAGTTTACCCCAAAGAATGGAGGCATGAGTGATTTTTATTTTCTTCTTTGTGCTTTTTAAAAAATCTGTATGCAATGAACCAACATTATTAAAGTAATAAAATATAATATGACCAAAATATTTAAAGAACAAAAGAGCTGATCCTAGGGAATTTTAGTAAGAACAACCACCACGAAAAATGTTAATAAATCACAGAGGGGAGGAGGAGGAGGGGGAAGCAGGGACAGTGTCATTGTCTCATAGCTGGGCCAATGTCAGGACCACCTGGTGGTCACGCAGAAGTTAATTCACGGGCTTCTCAGGGTGTATAGCAATCATCAAGATGGGCTTTTAAATGGTAAAGTAAAATTGTTTCATTAGCACTTATTCGCAGTACATAATCTTTACATTTCTTGTGTAGAGCTGGTGCATGTACATAACACACCCTTTCTTTCATCCCTTCCCTCTCCTACCTCCCTGCTTCTTCCATCTTTCGTTCCCTTCCCCTTTAAGAAAGATCTATCTCCCCACTTCCTATTATCTTTTATTTTGCTCTTTATGTATAATTTGGGTATTTCATACAAGAGAAACCATGGGATATTTAAGCCTGTGTGTCTGATTTATTTCACTTCGTTATTATGGTCTCGAAGTGCATCCATTTTCCTACAGATGACCCAAGTCTATCCTTCTTTATGGCAGAGTAGTACTCCATAGTATATAAATACCACATTTTCTTTAGCTATTCACCTGTTGATGGAAATATAGGCTGCTTCTAAGATTTAGCTATTATGAATTGCACTGCTGTCAACGGGTATGCATGTATCACTGCGGTATGATGTCTTTAATTCTTTAGGGAAGGTAAAATTCAACACAGAATGCATGGGTCTTCAGTGTATAATTCAATAAGCCTTGATAATTATCTGTATATATGAAACCATCACTCCACTCGGGATGCACAACATTTCAGTCACCCCACGATGTCCCCTGTGGAATCCACTCATTTGGAAGTCCCTCTTTCAGCTACACTTCGAGGTAATGTCATCAGCTGTTACTCCGCTGTCTTTTCACTGTGCTTTCGGATCTGCCCCTGAACTTTCTGGAAAGTTCTCTGTCCACCTGAAAACCTTGTCAGCATGGAGCGTGCCTTTCCAGAAAACGTGCTCAGGACGCTCTCCAGGAAGGCCAGAAACGGAACTTCGGCTTTGCAGTCTAAACGCTGACCAATTCGGTGCAATAAATGAAATTATGTCTGTGGTCCCCGTCAACACAGCATTCAGAAGAGACTGCCGTTGTTCCAGACGGGGAAAGTTTGGGGAGGAGTCTGGGGAGCCGCGATTTCCAGAGGGACCCGCACCCCGAGGCTCGCGCATGCGCCCAGCATGCCCCGCCATTTCCCGGGCCACCTCCGCTGTAGTCCACGCACCTGCGCAGTCGAACCCAGTAAATGGGCGCCTTCTGCCTTGGCATGAAATTGTACACATTGTGGGGGGAACAAAGAACATTTCCCGAATTTCTCTTATGAGAAATGTTTAAAAATGCAAACGAGACGTAATCTGACATTTCTTCCTTTATTGAGTAATGTCTCAATCTCAATCTCAATCTCCTCTCTCCCTAAATAAACCCTGACTTCCAGGAAAGGGAAGGCTAATCAACTTAAACCCAAGCTCAGAGGCCACGCCGGAATCCTCTGCTCCATACATAGGCCAGGTTTGTCACAAGGGGCCCTGGAACGAACCGAAGGGGGGTTGTGGCCTGGCTTCCTAGCTGCGCGTTAGTGCCTCTTGAGTGACTTCCTGCAGCCACAAGGCCTGCTGGGAGGGAGAGGAGTCCGGAAGAGCGACCAGAGGACGGCTCCAGGAGGGTGTGCGCAGCCCTCGCGTGGGGTGTGCGATCTCTTGATAAACGGTTTCTGCTGGTGTGCTCTGGAATTTCAGTGTGTCCCCTGGAAACGAGGGGAAACGAGGGGAAACAGAACCCTCAGGGAGGATGATTGGACGACCAAAGTGGTGAACTGCTGGCCAGAGAAGTCACCTACGTGGGACTCGCTGTTGAATGGTGGGTTAAAAAATAAGAAAAAATAAGTGAGCTGAAAATCAGGATTAAAAAAATATTAATTTCCATGAGGGACCTATTGGACAAGGAGCAATAATATGTTAAATTATAATCTTAGAAGTAAAGCAGGGTGGTGGTTTACATACTCTATTTTCTCCTGTCTCCTTGCTTTGCCTGTGAACAAAGATGGGTGCTTATTTTCCATGCAGGAGTCAATGATATGATCAATTATATCTATTATTTCAACAATAGCAGCAGCAAACATGGTCTTTAAATGGAAATCATTATCATTATATCTATTTATTTCTTGGCTACTAAAGGAAGGAAACTGTTGAAAATCAAATGGTACATTAGTTACTGCATTTCACTTACTACAGATGATTAAAAAAAACCTCTCTATTCTGTTTCACTTAATGCTTCAAGTAAATTACATTTTCTGCCTCTCACATTTGAATACAAAGCTGTTATCTTAGGGTTCCCAGCACTGTGGAAGAAACATTTCATGGAAATAGTTCTATTTCAACCATAATGTCTCTTTCCACTCCTTTTTTATTAAGAAAAAGAAAAAGGGAAAGCAATAATAATTTTATTTGGAGCCCAGGACTCTGATCTTGTGAATAATCTGCCTTCACTCCAGTTAATCAGGGGATGAGTGATATCCTATTTCCTCGTAATTTCTTCTAGACTCAGTGAGATGAAAGAAGAATCTATAATCAAATAAAAGTTGTATTGCAAACATTACAACTAATTTATATAGTTAAGAACTCAGGGTTGTATTCAGATCCGACCAGGAACATGATACAAGATTTAATTTAAAAGGAAAGAGAGAGCAATTTCTCTTTTTTTGTAAATTTTGGTAACTCAATTGTCACTGTGCCATGACTCAGTAACTACCCTGCCTGCTTCCCTGTGACACTGATAAAGTGACTTTGTGTCCACCCAGTGTGTTACACTGGGGAAAAGTAGGACCCTCTCCCCTACTCGGCTTTGAGATAATTTGAAAATACTGCTTACTCCTCCCTTTGTTCCTATAGTCTCTGTTTTCCTACTTTACAGCTCGGAGGTAGACCTGTGTACTTATGTATTAGAAGCCATTTACCTAACTGCATAGACCCCACCACACATATGTCCAGTTCTGTGTTACATGGATCCACTATTTTGATCCCATGAAAAGGAAAAGGAAAGTGGAGAGGGAGGCCAGTCATTCACTGATGTTAGGCAGGGCGGGGACCGTAGCTCAGTGGCACAGCACATCCTAGCATGTGCAAGGCCCTGGGTTCCAGCCCTGGCACCAAAGACGAATGCAAAGTACCCTACTACTGGGGAAAAAAAACTTTTAAAACTTAGGTTAATCAGTTAATTAAACCAAGAGGAGCTATTTTCAGCTATACTTCATTTTGCCAGGGCAGTCATTAGACATATTTTGAAGCTCCGAGCAGTACTGAAAGGACACAAGCACACATTCCTCTCCTCTTGCTCCCCGGAGCACACTCCAGATGTGTTTCTGACCCCGGCTCTCGGCCACAACTGGGAAATGTGACACTGCGTTCTCGCTCCCCTTATCTCACTGGTTCCTGGCACTTTGACCCGCTCGCTGATTACACTTTCTCCCTGGCTCCTGGGTGCCGCCGGCTTCTGGGTCTCTCCTGGGCCACCCCTTGCTTGTTCCTCCTCCTGTCTCGACCTCCGCGTGGTGGAGTGGTCCAGGGCTCAGTTTCTTGACTGATTCATTCCCTTGCTGGCCTCCTCCCGCCCCTCCACTGCCCACACACTGCACACCAGCAATCCCAGAGTCCTCTCTGCCAAGACCTTGCCCCTGATTTACAGCCTGACTCCTCCAGCTGCCCACAGACCTCTCCTCTTGGGTCTCTCTTCCGAGTCTGAGGCTCCGTGCATCCAAAACCCACTTTCTCCTCTTCCCTAAGCTTGCTCCTCAAGCAGCAGGGCAGTGGCTCC